CGAAGTTTGCTGATTCTCATATTGAGCGTCCCTCTCTTCCCTCGTCGCGACATGTATATATTCCCATATATGCACTATGTGCTCTTCATGATGTTCTTTTTCAGAGCAGGGAGAGGGATCAGGATTGTTCTGTTGCTGTACTGTGGGATATCAGTTTATGACGTGATAACATCAAGGACAATGAGGGTCATGTGGGATATGTATTCAGTGTTGCTCTTCTGCCCTTACTTCCTACCTCTGGGAATTTATTAATAATCGTACCCAGTCTGTGGGGGGGAACAAGGGAGGATGATTTTCCCCAGCTTTTCACCCCCTTTTTCTCCTTCAGGCCTGTTACAACAGCTTTTGAGAATTATTAATTCCCTTTGGATGTTAAGGAAAGCATGTTCTTGTTGCTAAGTCTGCCAGGTCTCCTCAGTGCGGTCCACACCATGTTTAGAGTCAGGACAGAGATTTCTAGGAAGGTCATTCAGAGATCTGCCCCAAGGGTGGATAGTCATGAGTGGCATGGAATGTAGTAAAAAATGGGCCAGGTTTTGGAGGATTTCTCTCCTCCAATGGTTTGGAAGTTCAACAACTACAGGACCCTGATAAAATGACAGAATATTTGAAAGGAAAAGGCTGTGGCGATTCCAGAAAGGTGCAAAGTTATGCAACATTCTGGGCTCTGGCTACTATTTACCAGACAGTGCTCCATACTAGACAGCACCCTTGGGGGGAGGAGGGAAACAGACCAACAGGCACTGTGGCCCCTCAAACTGAAGCTGAACCAGAGGAACAACCTGTGTCAGTAGCAGTCGTCCCTATACAGAAGAAGAAATCCAAGACCGAATCAGTTCTCTTAGTGAGGGATGAAGAGGAAGCAGGGCCCTCAGAACAGGAGGAAGAGGCAGGGCCAAAGATAATCACCCAATCCCTATCCCCAGGTGAGCTTCAAGATATGCGAAAAGATTTCAGCTGCCATCTGGGGTGAACACATTGTGACCTGGCTACTCCAATGCTGGGACAGCGCAGCCCACTGTTGGAAATCAGAGGGTAGTGAAGCCAAGCAACTGGAATCCCTGTCCAGGGATGCAGGCATTGACAAGGGGATTGGGAAAAAGACAGAAATCCTCAGCCTCTGGAGGCGACTCCTGTCAAGCGTGAGGGAAAGGTATCTTTTCAAGGACAATCTATCCATGCACCGAGGCAAGTGGAACACCATGGAACAAGGTAACCAGAAAAAATTAGCTATACTGGTGGTACTGTATAAGGATTCAAATAACGAGCAGTCCCCTATAGATCCAGATGAACTCCAGTGTACACAACCCATGTGGCAGAAGTTTCTACAGATCACGCCATCGTTGTATGCCAACTCAGTGGCAGTGATGTCATGGAAAGAAGGCAAACAAAGAGTGGATAAATTGGTTGCCTAACTGGCAATATTAAGAAAGTCTCTCTTTCCCCCTACGGGCCTGCATCTCAGCTGTGGAAAGACTGCCCAAAGACTTCCTGCAATTTAAAGAGGAAATGTCCCATGCCCCGCCAATACAGACCAGAGCCTCTGCTATTAGGAGCCTCCTTATCAATGCCTTTCCAGCTACCAATACAGATCACAGCATTGTAAGGGCTGCTATGGGGAAAATTAACTCCATCTCAGCAAGACCAAATACAATCTCCACCCCTTATTCCATACCATCTGTATCATACTTGAATCCAACATAATTAAATAATGCTATATATCTTCTAACTATTCCATTGTATTTTACCTAGGTAGCCTCATCTCCTCGAATGGTAAGATTGACGGAGAGATAGACAACAGGTTAGCAAAGGCATATAGTGCCTTCGGAAAGCTTCATAAAAGAGTTTGGCAAAATAAACACTTGAAGAAAAGTACAGAGATTGGTGTATACAGAGCCATAGTGCTGTCTACTCTCTTATATGGTTCCGAATCATGGGTCATCTACTGCCACCACCTGCAACTCCTAGAATACTTCCATCAATGCTGCCTCCGTACAATCCTAAACATTCACTGGTCAGATTATGTAACTAATACATCTGTTCTAGAACAAGCAGCAGTCACAAGTATAGAGGCCATGTTGCTGAGAACACAGCTGTGTTGGGCAGGACATGTCTCAAGGATGAAGGACCAACGCCTCCCTAAGATCATTCTTTATGGTGAACTCGCCACCAGCTGCCGCAAGAGAGGAGCCCCGAAGAGAAGATACAAGGACTCCTTGAAACAACATCTCAGCCTTGGCCATATTGATCAACATAACTGGTCTACTCTGGCCTCCAGTCGGGAGGTCTGGAGACACACTATCTATAACGCTGCTGATGCTTTTGAGAAAGCACGCAGGATCACTCTTGAGGAGAAAAGGCAATGCAGAAAGAATCGTGCCTTGCAGAATTTACCAACTAAGGAGTCCTTCTGTTGTACCTTTTGCAACCGGACGTGCCTATCTTGTATTGGCCTTTTTAGCCACCAATGCGCTTGTAACAAACGTGGGTAGAGCCCTCCCCAAATCTTCGTTCTCGAAGCCTAGCCACGATGGTGATGATTCCATTGTATTTAATTCTTGTGACTGAAATCTTTTTGTACCAACACTTACAACATAATCTACATCCTTAAACCTTCTTTATACCCAACATACAGATTTATACATTTCCATTAACTACTGTCCCCCATCCTTTCACAGATAAATATTATTTCCCCATTCCATGGGCTTCCCCTACCAATGTTCAAAACCAGGCCATGACGAGCTCCATTCCATCAAGATGGGTGCTCAGGACAGGAGAAGCAGCACACTCAATCGTTGGGGGTCAACACTGGCCCAGCCCAGGTCATCGTTGCACTTGCTTTGCTCCTCATGAAATTCACCCTTTATCATCAGTTCATGTCATTCCTGCTACTTTACTTCCTGTAACATACAACTCACACCACAGATTATTTTCCCCCCAAGGTTAAATCTCCTTGAGGCACACACCAGGTGGTCTCATCCTTCCACATTACACACCAGGTACACCCTGGTCCCTGAGCAAAGACAATCCCACAAATGGGTTTGCCTTTTCCCATGGGAGGAGAAATTCACAGCACGTTCTCAGACTACTTCCCTATGTGTAGTATGGGAACCTTATCTCCTCCCACAGTATGTAGGGATTTTGTTTGGGCAGGACCAGGGCCATTGGCAGATCCTCTGGTATTAAACAGCCAAGTGGCTTTTGATAAATTTGTATCCCAATGCTTCCATGCCCCATTGTCCAGTGCTCTCAACAAAGTCTTCAGCAGTCCATTATATCTCTCAACCTTTCCAGAGACTTGTGCATGATGGGGAATGTGATACACCTACTCAGTTACATGTTTCTTTGTCCAGGAGTTTATGAGGTTATTTCAGAAATGAGTCCCATTGTCTGATTCAATTTTTTCTGGGGTACTACACTGCCACAAAATGTACCTTTCAAGGCCCAAGATGGTGTTTCAAGCAGGGGCCTGGTTTACAGGATATGTTTCCAGCCAGCCAGTCATTGCCTCCACCATGGTAAGTATGTAGCTCTTGCCTTGGCATGTTCATGGCAGTGGTCCAATATAGTCAATTTACCAGACCTCGCCATATTGGAAACCCAGCCACTGCCCTCTATTCCAGGGAGATTTTACTTGCATGGGTCGCTTGATTGCAGCACGTTTCACATTCATGAATGACCTGTGTGATGACCTCCGTGGTCAGGTTCACCCCTTGATCACGAGCCCATCTGTATGTCGCATCTCTCTCTAGATGTCCTGATGTTTCATGGGCCCATTGGGCTGCAAATAGCTCACCCTTCCGCTCCTAGTCCAAGTCTACCTGAGCTATTTCAATATTGGCAGCCTGTTCATTGTTTTGATGTTCTTCAGTGCACGACTTTTGGGCATGTGAGCATCTACGTACCTTTAGAGCCATATTTTCCACCTGTGCAGCAATGTCCTGCCACAATTTTCACAGAAATTTCACAGAATATTCTGAGTTGGAAGGGACCCACAAGGATCATCAAGTCCAACTCTTAAATGAATGGCCCATGCAGGGATAAAACCCACAACCTTAGTGTTTATTAGCACTATGTTCTAACAATGCAGCAGCCCAAATGGGTTTACCCCTGCGTTGCCAATTGACCTTCTTCCACTGCTGTAGCCACCCCCATAGGGCATTAGCCACCATCCAGGATAGAGATACAGTACAGGCCACTTTTCTCGTTCGGCAATCTTTAGGATCAGTTGGATGGCTTTCACTTCTGCAAACTGACTTGACTCACCTTCTTCAGTGGTCTCAATGACTTGTTGTGTGGGACTCCACACAGCAGCTTTCCACGTCCAACCTCATCTTAAAAACCTCCAGGGACGGAGAATCCACCACTTCCCTGGGCAGCCCATTCCAATGGCTGATTACCCTCTCTGTAAAGAATTTCTTTCTAATATCTAACCTAAACCTCCCCTCACGCAGCTTAAGGCCATGCCCTCTTGTCCTACTGCTGATTGCCTGGGAGAAGAGACCAACCCCCACCTGCCTACAACCTCCTCTTAGGTAGTTGTAGAGAGTGATGAGGTCTCCCCTGAGCCTTCTCTTCTCAAGGCTAAACAACCCCAGCTCCCTCAGCCTCTCCTCATAGGACTTGTGTTCAAGTCCCTTCACCAACCTTGTTGCCCTTCTCTGCACCTGCTCCAGCACCTCAACATCTTTCCTGAACTGAGGGACCCAGAACTGGACACAGTACTCCAGGTGAGGCCTCACCAGTGCTGAGTACAGTGGCAGAATCACTTCCCTGGTCCTGCTGGCCACACTGTTCCTGATACAGACCAGGATGCCATTGGCTTTCTTGGCCACCTGGGCACACTGCTGGCTCATGTTCAACCTCCTGTCAATCAGCACTCCCAGGTCCCTTTCTGCCTGGCTGCTCTCCAGCCACACTGTCCCCAGCCTGTAGCGATGCAGTGGGTTGTTGTGGCCAAAGTGCAGGACCTGGCACTTGGCCTTGTTGAACCTCATCCCGTTGGAACCAGCCCAACTCTCCAGCCTATCCAGGTCCCTCTGCAGAGCCCTCCTGCCTTCCAGCAGGTCGACACTCCCTCCCAACTTGGTGTCGTCTGTGAATTTGCTAATGATGGACTCAATTCCCTCATCTAAATCATCGATAAAGATATTAAACAGAACTGGGCCCAACACTGATCCCTGGGGGACACCACTGGTGACCGGCTACCAGCTGGATGCAACCCCATTGACCAGCACTCTCTGGGCCCGACCCTCCAGCCAGTTCCTAACCCAGCACAGAGTGCCCCTGTCTAAGCCATGGGCTGCCAGTTTTTTCAGGAGTATGCTATGGGAGACAGTGTCAAAGGTTTTGCTGAAGTCCAGATAGACTACATTCACAGCCTTCCCCTCATCCACCAGGTGGGTCACCTGATCATAAAAGGAGATCAGATTGGTCAGACAGGACCTGCCCTTCCTAAACCCATGTTGGTTGGGTCTGATCCCTTGTCCATCCTGTAGGTGCTGTGTGATTGCACTTAGGATGATCTGCTCCATAACCTTGCCAGGCACTGAGGTCAGACTGACAGGCCTGTAGTTTCCTGGGTCTTCCTTCCGGCCCTTTTTGTGGATTGGTGTGACATATGCCAATTTCCAATCATCTGGGACCTCCCCAGTGAGCCAGGACTGTTGGTAAATGATGGAGAGAGGCTTGGCGAGCTCTTCCGCCAGCTCCCTCATCACCCTTGGGTGGATCCCATCTGGTCCCATAGACTTGTGAGGATCCAAGTGGCTCAGCAGGTCGCTGATTGTTTCCTCCTTGATTATGGGGGGACTATTCAGCTTCATATTCCTATCTACATGCTCCAGAAGCCAGCTGTCCTCAGAGAGACCTGTCCTACCGTTGAAGACTGAGGTAAAGAAGGTGTTAAATACCTCAGCCTTTTCCTCATCTTTAATAACTATGTTTCCCCCCATGTCCACTAAACAATGGAGATTTTCCTTGTCCCTCTTTTTGCTACTGATGTATCTATAGAAAGACTTTTTATTTTCCTTAACAGAAGTGGCAAGATTGAGTTCAAATCTTGCCTTCGTCTCTCTGATTTTCTTTCTACATGACCTAACTAAATTCCTGAACTCTTCCTGAGTAACCAGTCCTTTTTTCCATAATCGGTAGGCTCTCTTTTTCATCCTAATTTCCCTCAAGATCTCCCTGTTCAGCCAGGCTGGCTGTCTTCCCTGCCAGCTTGCCTTTCAGCAGACTGGGACAGCCTGCTCTTGTGCATTTAAGACTTCCTTCTTGAAGTATGTCCATCCCTCCTGGACCCCTTTGTTTTCAAGGGCTGTTTCCCACGGTACCCTCTGAACCAGTCTCTTGAACAGGCTGAAATCTGCCCTCCGGAAGTCCAGCGTAGAGGTTTTATTGATGGCCCTTCTTGCATCCCTGAGTATTGAGAATTCTATTATTTCATGGTCACTGTGCCCCAGACGGCCTCCGACCACCACATCTCCCACCAGCCCCTCTCTGTTTGTGAACACAAGGTCTAGCAGGGCCCCATCCCTGGTAGGCTCATTTACCAGCTGGAGCAGGAAATTGTCTTCTATACACTCTAGGAATCTCCTAGACTGCCTCTTCTCTGCCATGTGGAGTTCCCAGCAGACATCCGGCAGGTTAAAGTCACCCATAAGAACAAGGGCTGGCGATTTTGAGACATCTGCCAGCTGCTTCTAGAAAAATTCATCATCCTCATCATCCTGGTTGGGTGGTCTGTAACAGACTCCCACCAGGATGTCAGCCTTGTTGGCCTTCCCCCTGATTTTGATCCACAGGCACTCAACCTTATTGTTACTGACTTCAAGTTCTAAAGAGTCAAGAGACTCTCTAACATACAGAGCCACCCCTCCAAGTCTCCTACCTTGCCTGTCCCTTCTGAAGAGCTCGTAGCCATCCATGGCAGCACTCCAGTCATGTGAGTCATCCCACCATGTTTCTGTGATGGCAACTACATCATAGCTTTCCTGCTGCACGATGGCTTCCAGCTCCTCTTGTTTGTTGCCCATGCTGCGTGCATTTATCTCTTTGGATTTGTGAACAGTTTTAAGGAGATTTGTTGTAGAAGTTCTTCAGGCGATCTCAGCTGTTTCAAAAAAATTAAAAGAATATTAGTAATTGTAGAGAGACTATGTAAAGGAAACAGTATATTAATATGGTTCTCATCTTTTGGGAATATGATAGCCCTATGCTCCTCAGTCTGCTAGTACTCTTCATTAAAATCAAAATATTTAAAAACTGTTTGTCATCAACAGTCATAGCCGTGAAGCAGATTAAAGGTGTAAAGTTGCTTACAGCAGATTCTTACATTGGAGATAGGATGTAAGGGGAAGGAAACAGCCATCTTTGACATGAAAACTGTGGCAGATCAAAATTCCTATTAACTTTTAACCTGCCTCACTAGTGCCTGCACGAGAATCTGCTCTGGTGCCTGGAGCACCTCCTCCCCCTCCTTCTTCACTGACCTCGGTGTCTGCAGAGCTGTTCCTCTCACATATTCTCACTCCTTTCTTCCCTGGCTGCAATTGTTTCTGCACAATAGCTTCCTTCCCCTTCTTAAATATGTTATCACAGAGGTGCTACAACCGTTGCTAATTGGTTCGGCCTTAGCCAGAAGCGGATCCTTCTTGGAGCTGGCTGGCATTGGCTCTGTCGGACATGGGGGAAGCTTCTAGTTATTTCTCACAGAAGCCACACCTGTAGCCTGCCCCCCTAACCTTGCCATGCAAATGAAATGCAAGAACATTCCATAAAAATAGTCTGCCACACATCAGAAAGAATAGATGGCAAGGAAGAAAGCATTGTTTAAGAAAGCTAGCTAGTTGTTTATGTATAAATAAAACAATAGTTTTATGTCTCAGACCTTTTATATTGCTACCATCGACACAGTGTTTGAATGCCATCCATGCAGAATTAATAAAAGTAATTGCAAACTCCATTAGAGTTCAGGAACTCTAGGTTTTCTGTCTTAAAGCATCCAAGTAGAGCCGGCTGAAATTTTTTCTCTGAAATATTCTTCTAATGGAAAACAGGCTACCTGTAAATTCAGAATTTACCGTTGGCTAAAGTGAAAGCTTTCTCTAACCTACATTGTGCCTCCTAGCTGAGAAACCCTTAGAGCTAAGACTTTCAGATTCCCTAGGAGCTGTAATTGTTGCCTATCTTGGCTTTCTGTTTCTTTCCATGTTCTTTCTGATGGGACTATCATGGCTAAAAAGGGTTAAAACATTTTATTTTTGCTGTCTCTAAATGAAGTTTCATAAACTGCATTCATTACTAAAGTTTGAAGTCTTTTTGCTTGTGTCTTTCATAAAAGAAAAATTTGGAATTTCCTGAGAACAGGAATTCAGGGTTTTGGGTAACTCTGGTGATGTTTCTCCTTCAGAAGGTTCCCTTTTGGTTTATTTCAGTTTGGTTACAATTGTTATCGTTTACTTTGGCTGAACAGCAGGTATCTACTGGGCCTGTGCCCAAGTCCCTCTGGAGGAAGGGGGGGGAGGAAGGAGAGAGGAAGGAAAAAAAACAACTATGAGAATCGGAACTGCTAAGAAAGATTATTTATATTACACAAAGATAGGAAACACTATAAGCAATATGTATACAAAGAAGAGCTAAAAATAAAGATACTTCCCAAACAACTGACGCTCCTCTTCCCGAAACTGCCTCGCTCGGCCACCGGAAGAGACAACTCTTCCTTCCCAGCTGCTTAAATAGCTGGGCTGACATAACATAATATGGAATATCTTATTGGTGGAATACACATCAAATGACTTATCCTATTTCCATTTTTCCCTCTCAGGGAGTATAACAAACCCCATTACACAATAGATCTTTTGTTTTGCTTTCAAGTAGAGGGTGCTAGGTGAGGATTTAAGGAGTAAAGTCATTTAGTATGAATATAAAATGAATAGGCAGTTAGAAAGTGAAGTTTAGACTGGGCAATGTTACACACATTATCCCCGAGAAACTCTGTTGTGGTTCTTCATAAATGGAAATTGAGTCAGGGCCAGGACTTTGACCTAACACTGACCTCTAATACTTAATATGAGTCTGTGTGGATCTGAGGATGGCCCTGAGGGGCCTGTTGTTGTGAAAATAAATACCTATTTTATTTTATTTTATGGTGAGCAGGATATTGTAACCCTACATTATCTTCACAGATTATTACATGTTTCTATGATGCATTTTTAAAAGACTCATAAAGACTCATAGAAGACTCATTTGCCATGGCTCTGTGGATCTGCAAAGTAATCTATAATATCTTAAGATTCACCAGGTTGGATCAGGAAATGGTTGCAGCTACAATCTACATTCAGCTGTAGAAGGTTCTGTAAATAGGTGGCCTTAACCAAGTAACCTAAACACATAATTTTTTTATTTTATTACCATGTGTCTTGAAGCCTCAGGGATGGAACTCTCCAAGTGCTTCCTTTTCCTTTCTTTTGAATTGGAGATTTACATGGATTTTTCATTCTTCCTCAGCCTTTTCTGGTCTGTGCTAGTGTCTCAGTTTGAAGAGACTGGAATGTTTGCTAAAGAGGATGAGTTACGAGACAGACCAAACTCCTCTCTCTCAGCAATTGTAAATTCAAAAATTAAGAGGCTTTAATCGAGGAAGTGTGGAAGAAAAGAAGAAATAACAACCCTTTATTAAAAGATATATGTATATTGGCAAGAACAGTAACAGAACGTAAAAACAACTAAACAATAGTCCTGTACCCCGAAGTTCCCTTCAAACAAAAGTCTGAATACTTCTCTGTCTTCTAGCACAGTTCTAATCACGGTTGGCAGGGGGCGCTGTTGGATCACTGGAGATGCAGAACCTGCAGTTCTCTGTGTTGACCTGCAGGGGGCGCTGTTGGTCTGGGAGGGTGGTCTCGGATCGGGGGAGAAGCCGAAAAGAAAATGGGGACCCTTCCCCCAATGGAAGAAGGGGGAAAGGGAAAACAGTCCACCCCCACATAACTCACTGTTGTCCTCAGATGATGGTGTCTCAGGGCTCTTCATTTTTCTCCCAGTGAGCACAAAGACCTCTCCGATGAAAACACACCAAAACTCGGGCTGGAGGCAAAGGCAGCCTATGAGGAAGCCGAGGCCAGCGAAAGAAAACCGACCTCAAGGCTCCCCTCTCCCAAACTGCCCGCACGCAGACTCTGTCTCCCTTCTAGAGAGCGAACCCTGCAGTCAGCTCTCTCCCCTCCGAGCAGAGCCCGCCACCCCCTCCCAAAACTCCTACCCTCTCCCCCCAGCCTCTGATGGGGCCATCAGTTAGGAATGCAGCCTGACCAGCTAGTTCTTTTGTAAGGCTAATTGATGCCCTTCCCCCTTTCCATTCAAACTCATCTTTCCTACAGTGGGGAGGCAGGGGGAAGAAAAAATTCCCCCTCTTGGATTTCTAACCTATAACAACCAGGTATAGTAGAACTGCTGCTCTCAGCTCTCTGCGTCACAGGTTGCTGGGAGTACCTGATGCCTCTTCATGAGGTTGGGGCTGACAAACAGTTATTTTGCAGAAGGTGTGCTGTGGTTGAAGAGCTGTGTCGCCAGGTATCTTGGTTTAAAGACAATATATTTGGGTGAGAAATCAAATGAAATGAACCCCCTGACCTTTTATAGAGACCAAAAATGTGAGGAGATTTAAGTGAAAAAAGAATAACAATTTTACTAAAAGAAAATAGCAATGACTACAAAAAATACAGGGGAAACTGTTTACCCACAGAAGAGGGATCCACCAACCACGTGACCCCCCCCCTACTCCCGGGAACAAAGGGAAAACGAAGATGGCAAAGAGTCTTCTGCACTGAGCCACCCCTCACGGCACTGGCACTGCCTGTTTGGCTTGGTTGGACTTGGACTCCACTGGTTCTTCAGCTTACTTTGTGCGGCTGGGGCGGTGGTGGAGATTCCCACACGGCTGGGGTGCCGGCGGTGGCAGCGATCCTGGGCCCTGTCAAAGAGACGGCTCTGAACCAACCTCAGAGAATTCACACTGCTGCCACGATTGAGGCAAGAAGGGAGCTGTTTCTGGTTCCTGCTGCTGCTTTATCTTCTGTCCTGGGCACTGGGGGGGGACCACCTTCTGGCAGCTCCTTAGACCCCAGAAGAACTTCGACCCGTGCAAACCCCTCTCCCCTCCAGCTGCCTGAGTTGGGAGGGAGACGTGGCTTCCCCCCACCTCAGATGATGTAATGGTGTGAATATTCATCACTAATGTTTCCTCCCCAGTTTATAACTATAATGTTATCCACCCCTTATTCATACCATTACTTCATGCTGGATTTACACCTTTCAACTATATATATACATATATATACAAATATACGCACCTAGGTAGTGTTACAGACAGTTTTTTACCCAAATATCAGCTCCCCTTGAGATATACACCATGATCCCCCATCTTTCTGCATCACCCACCAAGTGCAGTCTGGTCCTTGAACAAAAACAATCCCATGTATGTGTTTGCCTTTGCTTGAGGCAGGACTAATCCAAACTGTTTTCCCTAACATACCTCTCATGTGCACTATGGGGACTTCATCTGTGTTGTGAAGTGGCTCTGATTGGGCAGGGCCGGTTCAATTGACAGAGCCTCTAGTGTTGACTAACCAAGTGGCCTTCGCTAAGTGCTGATCCCAGTGCTTGAAGGTCCCCCTGCCCAATGCCTTCAATGTGGTTTTCAACAGCCCATTACACCATTCAACCTTCCCAGCGGCTGGTGCATGATAAGGGGATATGATGTACCCACTCAATTCCATGCTCTTTAGCTGAGGTGTTAACCAGGTTATTCTTGAAATGAGTCCCACTGTCTGACTCCATTTGATCTGGGGTGCCATGTCACCACAAGACTTGTTTTTCAAGGCCCAGGATGGTGTTCCAGGCAGTGGCATGAGGCACAGAGTGCATCTCCAGCCATCCGGTGGTTGCTTCCACCATGGTAAGCACATAGCGCTTACCTTGGCAGGGTTGTGGCAGTGTGATATAATCAATCTGCCAGGCCTTTCCACGTCTTTATTTTGACCACCGTCTACCATACCACAGAGACTTTATCCGCTTGGTCTGTTTGATTGTAGCACGTTTCACAATTGTGGATAACCTGGGAGATAGTATCCATGGTTAAATCTGCCCCTTGGTCTCATGCCCACCTATAGGTGGCATCTCTTCCCTGATGACTTGAGGCATCATGGGCCCATCCAGTTAGGAACAAGTCTCCCTTGTGCTGCCAGTCTAGATCTACCTGCGACACTTTGAATTGGGGAGCTCAATCTCCCTGTTCATTGTTATGATATTCTTCATTAGCTCGACTCTTAGGCACATGTGCGTCTACATGGCAGACTCTCGCGATCAACTTCTCTACCTGGGCGGCAATGTCTTGCCACATTTTGGAAGCCCAGAGGGGTTTCCCTTTATGTTGCCAATTTTCTTTTTTCCATTTGTCCAGCCATCCCCACAGAGCAGTGGCCACTATCCACAAGTCAGTGTAGAGGTAAAGTCTTGGCCACTTCTCTCATTGGGCAATGTCCAAGGCCAGTTGGATGGCTCTGAGCTCTGCAACTTGACTCGATCCACCTTGTCTTTCAGTGGTGTAGTGGGTTGACCCTGGCCAGATACCAGGTACCCACTAAAGCCACTCTCTCACTTTCCCTCTGCAACTGGACAGAGGAGAGAAAAAAAACAGCTAAGGATTCATGAGTTGAGATAAGAGCTGAGAGAGGTCAGTTACTGATTACCTTCATGGTCAAAACAGACTCAAAGTGGGGATAGTACTTAAATTTATTACTAACAGAATATGAGCCAAAGAGTGAGAAAAAAACCAGTCTTAAAAACACCTTCCCCCTACCCCTCCTTCCTTCCATGTTCTCCCTCCTCCCCCTGCCAGCGGTACAGGGGGACGGGGAATGGGGGTTGTCATTGTTGGGACGGACACCACACTGGGATTTCACGCAGAAAGACTTTTATTTCATACAAACATTGCCAATTTATAGTCTTTTCTAGTCAGCGTGTTTCATTACCACTGGTGCCCCTACTATATAAACATGTCAAGATTGGCTGTTCTATAACTTCTGCAAACTCAGGGTGACTCAGCAGACAATTCAGGATTTCTGGCTATCACAGCTGCCCCGCAGCTCCATCCTCCCAATCCACCCTCTCATCTTCAATGTTTACATTCCTTCACAACTTCGCAGCTGCAACCACTCAAATTCAGGGCCCAAGCTGTCCACAGCTCAGTCACCTCCCACAGGGGGTTACAGTCAGTTGTTGTTTCTGCTGCTGCTCAGAGAGAGGAGTCCTTCCCCTGCTCCTGTGGGGTCCCTCCCACAGGAGACAGTCCTTGATGGACCTCTCCAGCGTGAGTCCATCCCTCAGGCAGCAGTTCTTCCCAAACTGCTGTCCCGTGGGTCACTTCTCCATAGGGTGCAGTCCTTCACGAATGAGCTGTACAGGCGTGGGTCCCCCACAGGGGCCACAAGTCCTACCTGGGAAAAACCTGCTCCAGAGTGGGCTTCCCTGTCCATGGGCTGCAGGTCTCCAGCAGGACCCTGCTCCATCTTGGGCCTCCCACGGGGTCACAACCTCCTTCATGCATCCACCTGCTCCAGCATGGGCTTCTCCATGGGCTGCAAGTGGGTCTGCACCCCAATGGTCCTCCATGGGCTGCAGGGGGACAGCCTGCTTCACCATGGTCAGCACTACAGGCTGCAGGGGCCTCAGCTCTGGCACCTAGAGCACCTCCTCCCCCTCCTCCTGCATTGACCTTGGTGTCTACCTTGTTCCCATGTTCTCACTCCGCTCTTCCCTGGCTGGAATTCTTTCTGTGCAACAACCTTCTGTTCTTAAATATGTTATCACAGAGGTGTTACTATCACTCTTGAGTGGCTTGGCCTTGGCCAGCAGCAGGAAACCCGTCCTGGAGCCAGCTGGTATTGGCTCCACGGGACAGGGGAAGCTTCTAGCAACTGCTAACAGAAGCCACCCCTGTAGACCCCCCCGCTACCAAAACCCAGACACAGAAACCCACTACAAGTGGCTTCTGCAATTCGTGTGGGGCTCCATAAGGCTACTTTCCATTTTTGGTTCGTCCCTACAATGCGACAGGAACCATCAGTGAAAAGAGTGTATTGCTTTTCGTCTTGGTTGTATGGTGGACCTTCCTCAGCATATGCCACCTGTTCCTCTTCCTCTTCATCTGCTAGACCGAAGTTCTCACCTTCAGACCAGTTCCTGATTATCTCTAAGACTCCAGGACGATTACGGTTTCCGATTTGGGTATGCTGAGTGATCAAGGCAATCCACTTATTCTGTGTAGCGTCAGTGGCATGATGCATGGAGGGAACTTTTCCTTTGAACGTCCACCCCAGCACTGGTAGTCGAGGCTCCAGGAGAAGTTGTGCTCCCGTGCCAATCACCTGAACTCCTTCATAGACTGCTAGAATCTCCATCTCTGTTGGGCTGTAGTTGGTCTCAGACCCTCTGTAGCCTTGGCTCCAGAATTCAAGTGTTTGACCTCGAGTCTCCCCAGGCACTTTCAACCAGAGGCTCCAGGAAGGACCATTCCCTTGGCTACAGAGTAGAGCACATTCTTCACCTCCTGTCCTGTTCTGACTGACCCAAGGGCTACAGCATGAGCAATCTCCTGTTTGATCTGTTCAAAGGCTTGTTGCTGTTCAGGACCTATTGATGGAAGGGAACGGACAGATGCTCTTACATCAATATGATCAGGCAAAATGTCGTCTTTATTAGGAGAAAGACAGATTATATAGTGCTTATGATGCTTAGTTTCTTATTCACACTACATTGGTTACATAAGGAAAACATACTCTGCTGTCCACTGTTAATTGGACTACAACAGGTGGTCATAGGAGATGAGAACACCTTATTCACTTTGCCAAAACTCCTCCTTGGCATCTGGCATGAATCCACCTTTGTTCTAACTTCAGGCCCTGTAGCCATCTTAGTGGGGCAGTAATTTTTACTATCAGCACTCAGCTATACCAAGGCAAAAATCTCAGAAATGCAATAGAAATTGTTCACACAATTTCTGCCTTACGACAAATCCCCCTTTCGATTTTTGAACAATTTATATTGCATTTCTGTATCACTCTTTATTGTACCAATAACATATCAATAAACATGATTACATATTACAATAATAGTGCATTAACAAACTTAACAACTTATTAACTTCAAGGTTTGTGCTCTTGAATTTTCTTAAAAGTACTTTTCTAAATATAGGATTTATTCTTGAAAATCTTTATTCAGTCTAAAACACTTGTGGATGGAACTCCATTCATTTTTGAGTTATGTGTCTTCTGTGTTTATTTAAAAATGTTTGTGTATTTGATGGACCAAAACACATCAATCATCATACATTCACACACACACATACAAGCTCTCACAGTGGCCACTGTCAACATTCACACAAGCATACTTTTGAATTCCATATCACTGTGTTTTATGAGCTAAAAAATTATAATTTTTTAGTACCTTATAATGTTAAAGCTTCTTGACCAAATAGATAAACTTTCTTTTACTAATATATAGTAAATAATCTAAAGTTTACACAACACACTTTCTTAAATTCTAAACCTCTATAATTATGTGCTTCTTAACTTCTAGACTTATGTGCTTTAAAAATATCAAAAAATTGTGTTCATAATACTTAAAAATTGTGCTTTTGTAATATTGAAGAGACTATTAGCTACAGCAGCTTCTGGTGTCACAGTCACCTGCAGGAACAACATCAGCCTTGTTTTGAAGAACCAGCTTCTTTCCAGGGTTTCATTTATGTGCAGATAACCAGAGAACACCTGTGCACAAAAATCTTAAAACATATAAAACACTTTTGCAAGTCAATAGAGGAAAACTGAGATCTTTCTTTCCCCCTTTTTCTTTGTGCGAAAGTGTTTTAAAAAATTCTTAAATCACTGATTTCTTTACTAAATACTCTTGTGCTAATAATCCTAAACTTATAACAGCTTTATTCTGCAACAAACTCCACTATACTAATTCTATTAATTAATAATTCTGAAAAAATTTCTAGGAATGTTGTTGATCTGTTCTAAACTCTAGTATTATTTTCTTCTTCATCACTATCAGAACTTGTGTCTGATTCTGAAGAAGTGTCAGTCTCCACAGACAAAAAAGGTTTTTTTGTTACAGTTATTGCATCGGGTAAATAGGCTGCTTTCTCTTGTTGGACTATATTTGCAGCAACTTCTAAAAATTGGACTGTATCAGCACCCTTAGGTAGTGTACTTAAAACTTGTTTTGTATTTTCATTGGCATTATTATAGGCCAACATATCTAAGAATTTTGTTTTCATATTATTATCTATGTCCGGATCTGAATTGATCGACTCATGTAAACGACTTACAAATTGATTGTATGGTTCAGTGGGTCCCTGCTTGATTGAAGTACATGGGGGTCCTGACTTTGCATCTCTTATCATAAGCAATGACTTATAAGCTAAATCCTGACTAGTTTTTAATACTGCATCTGGAAACTGTATTTGCAAATATGTACTGTTGTACTGACCAAAACTCATGAGCATGTCAGCAGAAACACCAAAGAGAGGGTGTCCTTTCTGCCTAGATTGTGCAACCATTGCTGCACAACTGGCACTCCATTCGTTGAAGAATTCCAGTTGTTGGGAAGGAGAAAGTAACATAGATATAATTATACGAATATCCTATGGTGTTAACAAATGAGCAGTAAAGAGATGCCACAGTACTATTCGTGTATAAGTACTCTTTAAACCATACTGCATAACAGTCATTTTAACTTCTTTTAAAATTTTCCAGTCCAAAGCTTTCCAGGGTTCACTCTCAATTAAAGTTGAAACATTAGAGGGGGTTGTATTCAGCTGAACAAGTTGTCTCTCTCCTAATTTAGACTCAAGCTCTTGAAAGTGAAGCAATAAGCTGTCTTTGAGGTCTTTTATTGCAAACATAGTGGCTTCCTGGCTTCCATTGTCCAAGCTCTTGTCATCAGGAGACAAACCTGAGGATGGAAATGATGAAAATAACTCTTTTGCGTTACCACGATTAGGTTTTTCTTTCTCCTTTCGTAGCAGAACTGAATCAGGTGAAGAAGCCATGCTCGCTTCGGCAGCGGCTCCGGTCCCCGTCGGGACGGTGGTGGCTTCTGCCGAAACAGCAGCTCCCGCTACAACAGTAGCAGCCTCTGCTGAGGCGGCAGTCTTTGCTGAAATAACTTCAGTTGCTACGGCAACGCTTGCAGCAACTGTAGTTTCCATGGTTTGACTTCCTGGTTCTGATGTGAGGACTGCTGATGACGTAATTTCAGGCGACATGATGGTTTCAGGCAGTGGCGATGTAGCGACATCTAGTGGCTGGGAGGCTCCTAGCAACTCTGTTCCAGGGGGCGCTTGCGCAGTGACAGCTTCTGGCTCTGTGACCAGTGCAGGCTCAGTAGAAGGTGGCAGTACTGGCTGAGCAGGCGCAGAGAAGGGCGGTGGCGCTGGCAGGGTTCTAGTGTTGCTCTCCGCTGCTCCTGCTTTTCTTACAGTCTCTGCTGGCACAAACATGCTGCTAAACTGAATCAGTCCCGCTGTTTTTATTAGCGATCGTGACTGTGCAGCTGCAGGCACTAGGACCTCCTCGCAAACAGATCTATCGACTCGGAGACACGTCACAGTCTCGCTGACACCCGACAAAGTTCCCTGAGCAACTATAAGTTTTTGCTGATCCGTAGTTAACTTTTGCAGCGATTCAACAACTAAAGGCCAAACTTTAGGGTATTTCCTATACTTTTTAACATTTTTAGACTCTTGTTCCATTTCTTCCCATAACTGTTCCTTTATAGCATCTCAAATGGATACCTCAAAGGCGGCTTGAGCAGATGGCATTAGCTTCTTCGCTCTCGCCCAGACTATTAACCCTTCAAGGGCTTTTTTATCATAATTTGGCTCTCTTAGAGAGACTATAGATTGCAGGAACCTTTCCACAGCTTCTTCATCTTTAGAAAGCGTGGGCCCCATACTCCCACCAGCTGACTCACTTGACCAAGGCGAGATTCCAATTTTGACCGTGCACACGGCTTTCTTCACAGCACCGGGGCTCAGTGCTGCCTGTAACAACTGCTTCCTTCGGCTCTTCCGTTCGCCTTACGTCCCGGAGAACTGACGAACTTTGAGTCCCTGTTTGGGCGCCACTTATTGATGTAAGGGAACGGACAGATGCTCTTACATCAATATGATCAGGCAAAATGTCATCTTTATTAGGAGAAAGACAGATTATATAGTGCTTATGATGCTTAGTTTCTTGTTCACACTACATTGGTTACATAAGGAAAACATGCTCTGCTGTCCACTGTTAATTGGACTACAACAGGTGGTCATAGGAGATGAGAACACCTTATTCACTTTGCCAAAACTCCTCCTTGGCATCTGGCATGAATCCACCTTTGTTCTAACTTCAGGCCCTGTAGCCATCTTAGTGGGGCAGTAAGTTTTACTATCAGCACTCAGCTATACCAAGGCAAAAATCTCAGAAATGCAATAGAAATTGTTCACACAATTTCTACGTTACGACAAGGACCCCACTAGAAATTGTTCTAGCGTGTTACAAGGTAGGGAAGACTTACAATCTGACTGTATTCTGGGATGTGCATCCTCCAGAAACCTACGGTGCCTAGGAAAGCCTGTGTTTCCTTCTTGCTGGTCAGTGGGGACATTGCTGTTATCTTGTTAATCACTTCTGTTGGGTTCTGACAGCCTCTGTCCTGCCACTTCACTCCCAGCAACTGGATTTTACTGTTTGATGGCAAACCCAGCTTTCAGGAGAATCTGGATGATCTTTTCTCCTTTTTTAAAAAACTTCTTCTGCCATGTTCCCCCATACAGTGATGCCATCAATATACTGCAGGTGTTCTGGAGCCTCACCCTTCTCTAGTGCAACCTGGATCAGTCCATGGCAGATGGTGAGGCTGTGTTTCCACCCTTGGGGCAGTCAGTTCCAGGCATACTGCACAACCCTCCAGTTGAAAGCAAACTGTGGCCTTCACTCTGCTGCCAAAGGAATGGAGAAAAATGCATTTGCAATGTCAGTGGTGGCACCACTTTTCTACCTTGGACTCCAGTTCATACTGAAGCTCCGACATGTCTGGCACAGCGGCACTCAACGATGAGGTAACTTCATTCAAACCACGATAGGCCACTGTCAAACTCTATTCTCCATTAGACTTATGTACTGACCACATAGGGCTGCTAAAGGGTGAGCTAGTCTTGCTGATCACTCCTTGGCTTTCCAACTCACAAATCATCTTATGGATGGAGATCAGAGTCCTGGGTATTGCTGTATTGCCGACAATGCACTGTTGTGGTGGTGATCGGCACCTGCTGTTCTTCAAACCTTAGCAGTCCCACAGCAGAAAGGTCCTCTGAGAGACCAGTGTTCAACTGTTTAATCCCTTCTGTCTCTACAGCAGGCATCCCAAAGGCCCACTGATGTCCTTTTGGGTCTTGGAAATGCATGTTCTTTAGGTAATCAGTACCCAGGATACACGGGGCCTCTTGACTAGTCACAATGGGGTGTCTCTGCCACTCTTTTCCAGTCAAGTTCACTTCAACTTCTAACACCGTCAACTCTTGGGACCCCCCTGTCACCCCAGAAATGGAAATACACTCTGCCCTCACATGTCCTGATGACATTAGAGTGCATTGTGCACCAATGTTGACCAAAACCTTATATTCTTGCGGGTCTGATGTGCCAGGCCATTGGATCCACACAGTCCAATAGGCCTGGTTATATCTGGCTAGAGGCGGGACCCCTTTAGTGCTTGTTTTGGTAGTCATGGCTTTCTCCCTGTGCATACATCCTGAAGGTCCCTTCCAGAGGATTGGACATGTCATCATTTCCCCTGTTCTGTCCAGGAGCTTGCCCATGGGAGACTGGAGCTACATTCACCCTTGATAAATTTCTCTAGTAGTCTTTTTCCTTTTAACCCCTGTACTTGTGCTGCTAGAGCAGAGGTGGGTTTTCCATCCCATGTCCTCATGTCTTCCCCATGTTCATGTAGGAAGAACCACAGGTTGCCTCATGTGGTTGTCCTAGTTAGAACAGCTGGGACCGATTCATCATTGGATGGGTGTAGCCCAAAACTGTGTATTCTATAGCCCTCCATGCCATTTCCCAGAAACTGTTGTCAGTAGAGGCCTGCGAGGTGCCCCCCCCCCCATGCTCCTGTCCTCATGCCCTTTTGTGGAATTCCCTGACTGAGCACCCTCACACCCTTTTATGGAATTCCCCACTCTGAGGGAAGGACTGAACATCCTTTTATGGAATTCCCCACTCTGGGGGAGGGGCTAAGCATTACTGCCTGAGCTGGAGAATATATAAACCTGGAGTTTCAGAACCTTGCACTCTCTCCACTCGTGGGATCCAGAGGAGGACTGCAGCTCATCGCCCTCAACCAGACTGCAGCTCATCGCTCTCAACCAGACTGCAGCTCATCGCTCTTGGCCAGACTGCAGCTCACCACCACCCTCGGCTGGACTACAATCATCACTTTTAGCTGGACTGCAGCAGCTCTCCCACCAGCAGGTTTTTCCCCTCTCCCTCTGCTTTGGACTCAGGGGGGGCCCAGGGAGCACTGTTTTTGTTTGTGCCCTGGGGTGCCAGGTTGTACATTTGGGTTTTGTGGGTTGATACCAATTGCTTGTCTGTGTAGTTGTGCTTATTGTATTATTTTATTAAATTGTTATTCTGACTTACAATCTCTCTTTTGAGTTGAGTTCATTTCCCCTGCTGGTTAACTTTTAAACCAGCACAGTGGTGTACCCCCTTTCCCTAGCTGGGGGACGGTTGTTTCTAATAGCAGGGACTCTGGTTTGCACCAACAAGACATGGACGATGCTCTCTTTAAACTCCCTTAGTCTTTGGTGGCCATTTCTAACTTCCTCTGTCAGAATCTGGAGGTCTGCAACCAGTTTCTCTACAGAAAAGATATGGACCTGTAACAGGGCATGGACAATCTCATCTATGTCCAGAGTTTGTTACAGCACCCACTGTCTCTTGGTTTTCCTTCCAGTGCACTGTCATTAAGAAATAAGTATATTGATGGCCCTTGGTGTGCAAGTTTTAGCCGCATCTGTGATGTGCACTTGACCTTGTCTGTGTTGTTATTGAATTGCCCTTCCCCTGCAAAAAGTACCTCTAGCAACACCATTTCTCTCAGTCATATCTCCATGGTCTTCCAGGGACCATGATGCACCTGGAGGTTATCCCTGTAAGCAAACCTATCTCTCCTACTTGTTAAAAGCCACATCCAGAGGTGAAGGGGTTCTGATTTCCTCATGAACCCCTGATCAATACCTGTTTTTAGGACAGGGATCCTAAAAACCTTGCTTCAGTGCCATCAAGCTGCATACCTTGGCCCGTGTGGTGAGCTGACCTTGACTGGACGCCAGGTGCCCACCCAACTGCTCTATCACTCCCCTTCCCAGCTGGACAGGGGAGAGAGTAAGGTGAAAAACAACTCGTGGGTTGGGATAAGGCAGTTTATTTAAAACAAAAGCAAAGCAGAAGCTTGTACGTACAAGAGCGAAGTGAAGCAAAAAATAACACAGTTTATTCTCTACTTCCCATGAGCAGCGATGGTCGGCCACTCCTGAGAAGCAGGGCTTCAGCATATGTAATGGTTTCTTAGCAGGCAACCATTGGAGACAATGAATGCCTGCCTTCCTGCTCCTTGCCTTAGCTTTTATATCTGAGCTGGCATCATATGGTCAGTTTGGGTCAGCTGGCCTGGTTGTGTCCCCTCTCAGGATCTTGCCCTCAATTGAGAAAGGAATGTTACAGTGCTGATGCTGTGCTCAGCAGTAGCCAAAACACTGGTGTGTTATCAACACCCTTCTATCTACCAATGCAAAGCACAGCACTGTGAGGGCTGCTATGGGGAAATGAACTCCATCTCAACCAGACCCAATACAGCCCATTAGATCCCAGACTCAGATCAGTCACGTCAATATGGGCTCACCCAGTCGTCAGGTGATTTCTTTCTGCAAATTGCAGGGATTATCAAACGACAGAGATTTGGTAGTTATTTCTGGCTCTGATTCTACCAATGCCGAAGGTCCTACCTCCCCATCATCGTCCACCAGGCGAAGTGATTTAGTCTTGTATTTCCTCTTTTGGACAGGATAACTTCTGCTGGCTTGGGTTGCCCTTCTGGATTAACTACAACCTGAATGGCTGTGGTGTCTGTTATTTTACTCCCTTTCCTCCTGAAGTTGCTGTGCCATACCAAGCAGTGTCAGGTAGGCAGTGGCCAGGCCCCAGCATTTCACAGTGAGTTGCCCTTCTATAGATCTGCCATGGCAGCTTTTCCTCACAGATCTCATCACTTTAACAGGGTCCTGAAGTTGTTCAGGGGTGAACTGCCAGGTCATTGGAGCAGAAATGTTCTCCAAAAACTGGCCCATGTTCTCCCACTTCCATGTCATTCAAAGTTATCCACCCCTGGGGTTGGCCTCTGAACACCTTCCCTAGAGATCTTGGTCCTACCTCCAAACATGGAGTAGACGATACTGAGGAAAACTTGCAGACGTAGCAACAGGAGTATGCTATCCCTGACTTCTAGAGGGAATTCAAACTTTTCAAAAGCTGTTCTAGCAGACATAAAGGAGAAAGGGGTGAAAGGCTGAGAAAAGTCACCCCTTCCCCATTTCCCCCATGGGGCTGGGTGCCATTATCAATAGACCCCCGGAGGTAACAGCTTAGGCTAGGGCAGGAAGACAACCCCGAATACACATTCCAAATAAACCTTATGGGCACTGAGTTTGCAGCATTAAAAACTGAGATTACGAAATGGAACATCAACTAGGCTGGGGCAGCAGCGGTGGCAGCAATTCCCACACGGCTAGGGAGGTAGCGGTGGTGATAGCTGCGTGGGGTGGCATGGCAGCAACTGGGACCCTGTCAAAGAGATGGCTCCGAACCGACCTCAGAGAATTCACACTACTGCCGTGACTGAAGCAAGAAGGGAGATGTTTCCGGTTCCTGCTGCTGCTTTATCTTCTGCCCAGGTGCTGGGGGCAGAACCACCTTCTGGCAACTCCTAAGACCCCTGAAGAACTCCGACCCATGCAAACCCCTCTCCCCTCCAGCCCCCTGAGTTGGGAGGGAGAGGCTCACCCCCTCCCACCAGATGACATAATGGTGTGAATATTCATCACTAAAGTTTCCTCCCCTGTTTGTAACTATAACACCAGGTGAAGGAGCTACAGGAAGAAGTGAACAGGCTTTGTAGTATTTGAGCAAACAAGAAAGAGAACTATTATTTTCAGAGATGCTAGTCTCAAGACTTTCAGGAGTCTTGAATCACAATTGTAGTAGAGAATCAGATGGACTCAGAACCCTGCAGTCAAAGGACTGTTGGTCAAGGGTCTGTTAAAGATGAAGGCTGAAAGGTGGTCACTGTACGTACCAGGAGGAACCTTCCTCCTCCTTCTCAGAATTTGACAGGTAGGACTGGCACCTTCTACAACAGGTATGAGGCTCTGGAACTAGAAGGCCAGACAACTGATGAGGTGGGTGAAGGTCTTTCTGGGGTAGTGGGGCCTCCTAAAACAACACCACCTGTACTCCACATCAAGACCTCCTCTGTTAAGAGGAAAAGAAGGGAAGCTGTAATAGAAGACTGCCTTCTAAAGGGGAACAGAGGGGAGGGCCTGATATGCAGACATGACCCAACTCACAGGGAAGTCTACTGTCTCCCAGGGGCTTGGGTAAGGGTTTTTACTGGAAAACTCTAGTCTAATAAGGCCCTCTGATTACTATCTGCTATTGGTTGTTCAAACTCGCAGCGACAAAATAACCAAGAGAAGTCCGAGGGCAAACAAAAGAGACTTCAGGGCCCTGGGATGATTGGTAGAGGGATCAGGAGCACAGGTAGTGATTTCCTTGATCCTTATGGTAACAAGGAATAATACTGATAAGAATAGGCAGATCCATCAGGTCAATGAGTGGCTCCGAGGTTGGTGTAATCAGAAAAATTTGGAGCTTTTTGACCATGGGATGATCTACTCAACACCTGGTCTACTCTGATGCCGAAAAACCTCAGAATGATTAACTGCTCAGAGACTTTTGTATCTTTAAGCAGCAAGGTATTTGTTTATTCAATGTTGGGAACAAGCCAGCTCGAGCTGGACAAACTCGTGCAAAGGTATTACACAAAATCAGGGGGTTTATACAGTTTTCATACATGATTTTTATACATATTCATATGATTGCAACATCTAGCTATACATATTGATGATAGGCGGAGTCTAGGTGGAGCTTAGGGTGGTGCTTCTTTTGGCACTCAGTTTCGGGGGTACATCCGGCCTTTGGCCTCAAGTCGAGGGTCTTTTTCTCATCTTTCTCGCTCTGACCTCTCTACCTTTCTATTGTTCTTACCCCAATTACTGAAGCTTGGAGAAAGCCTTGGCTCTAGGCCTGTTTCTCCTATTCAAATGTCTACCTTATCCTACCTTATCCTAATTTATTACCCCTAGGCTTATTGTATACTGCTTCTAGTATTCTTCTATGTTTTTGGTCCACTGAACAGAACAGAACGAGTCTTAGCAGCACAGGCAGAGTAGATGTTAGGGGGAGCTTTCTCACCAGGCCCAGATATCTCAGTTAACTCTTTTAGGCCTAACCCTCATTTCAACTGACACCTGGTGGGATGCACCTATCTCAGAGGGGAAAAAGAGTTCTAGCCCAGGAGCTAGCGGGGCTTGTTGACAGAGCTTTAAACTAGTTTGGAAGAGGGAAAGGGACAAAACCAGGCTTGCTGGTGATGAGCAATGGGATGGTGTGCCAAAACTTGAGAAAACCAGCACTAATGGGATCCCTCAATCTACCTCACAAGGTATTGGCTACAATGTACCACACCTGAAATGTTTCTACACCAATGCATGCAGCATTAGGAACAAACAAGAGGAGCTCGAAGCTTTGACCCAGTTCCAGAGGTTTGACATCACTGGCATAAGTGAAACCTGGTGGGATGAGACCTGTGACTGGAGTGCCCTGTTGGACCATTACAGGCTTTTCAGGAGCAATAGGCAGGGCAGAAGAGGTAGAGGGGTGGCACTGTATGTAATAGAAGGGTTAGAATGTATGGAGCTCACAGTTGGCAATGGCACAGTTGAGAGCCTCTGGGTAAGAATTAAGGGACAAATAAATAATGTGGATGTCATAATGAGAATCTACTTTAGACCTCCCAGCCAGGATGATGATGAATTATTTTTTGAGGAACTAAGTAACACTTTCAAGTCATCCGCCCTTGTTCTTATGGGAGACTTCAACTTGATGGAAATTAACTGGGAGAATCACACAGGCCAGAAGATTCCTGAAAAACCTGGATGACAATTTTTTGAACAGGTCCTAAGGGAGCTGACTTAGAGAGATGCTCTCCTTGATCTACACTTGTCAACAGAGTGGATCTCATGAGTTAAATGGCTATTGGTGGTCGTCTTGGCCACAGCGACCACAAAGTGATTGAATTTAAAATCTCTGTTGACAGGAGGAAAAGTGCCAGCAAAACCTCAACTCTGGACATGAGAGCAGACATCAGGCTGCTGAGTGAATTATAAGTAAGGTCCCCTGGGAAAATGTTTTTGCAGGTGCTGGGGTCCATCAGTGATGATCACTTTTCAAACATCACCTCCTAAGGAAACAGGACCAGGCAATTCCCAAATGTTGAAAGTCAAGCAGGTGACACAGAAAGCTGGCTTGGCTTAGCAGGGATCTTCTGTTGAAAATAAGTCAAAAAAGGAAGGTGTATGCCCAGTGGAAGCAAGGTCAAGTGACATGGGAAGAATTCAGAGATGCTGTTTGCTGATGTAGGGAGAAAATTCGTGCGTCCAAAGCTCAACTGGATTTGAAGCTGCCAGAACTGTGGGGGACAATAAAAGGAGTTTTTTCAAATATAGTAATGGCAATAGGCAGTATAGAAATATCATTGGCCTGTTCCAGGATGGGGATGGTCATCTCACAAACAGAGACAGAGACAAGGCAGAGATGTTTAATGCATTCTTTGCCTCTGTCTTCAACACGGATGATGGACCAAAGGGATCTCAGTGCCCTGAGCTGGAGGACCATGACTGCAAGAACGATCCACTCCCAGGCGACCCGTAAATTGTGCTTGACCTGCTGCTCCAGTTGGATCCCTACAAATCTATGGGGCCTGATGGGATTCATCCCAGAATCCTCAAAGAACTGGCCGATGTCATGGCAAAACCTCTCTCAATGATTTTCGAGCGGTCTTGGGAATCTGGAGAGGTCCCAGCTGACTGGAAGCTGCCGAACATTGTCATGATTTTCAAGA